GACACACCTACACACCTACTCATTACTTTATTTTTTACATTGTAGAATAATAGTGAAGACATCAAAACTATGAAATAACACATATGGAATCATGTAGTAACCCCAAACATTATTTTATATTTGAGATCCTTTGCCTTTATGACAGCTTTGCACACTCTTGGCGTTCTCTCAACCAGCTTCACCTGGAATGCTTTTCCAACAGTCTTGAAGGAGTTCCCACATATGCTGAGCACTTGTTGGCTGCTTTACCTTCACTCTGCCGTCCGACTCATCCCAAACCATCTCAATTGGGTTGAGTTCGGGTGATTGTGGAGGCCAGGTCATCTGATGCTGCACTCCATCACTCTCCTTCTTGATAAAATATCCCTTATACAGCCTGGAGGTGTGTTGGGTCATTGTCTTGTTGAAAAACAATTGATAGTCCCACTAAGCCCAAACCAGATGGGATGGCGTATCGCTGCAGAATGCTGTGCCTTGAATTCTAAATAAATCACAGATAGTATCACCAGCAAAGCACACCAACCATGGAGGCCTGATTCACACAGTCCCCTCTGAACAGTTGATGTCGAGATGTGTCTGTGACTTGAACTCTGTGAAGCATTTACTTGGGCTGCAATTTCTGAGGCTGGTAACTCTAATTAACTTATCCTCTGCAGCATAGGTAACTCTGGGTCTTCCTTTCCTGTTGTGGTCCTCATGAGAGCCAGTTTCATCATAGCGCTTGATGGTTTTTGCGACTGCACTTGAAGAAACTTTCAAAGTACTTGAAATGTTCCATACTGACTGACCTTCATGTCTTAAAGTAATGATGGACTGTCGTTTCTCTTTGCTTATTTGAGCAGTTCTTGCAATAATATGGACTTGGTATTTGATCAAATAGGGCTATCTTCTGTATAGCTCCTTACCTTGTCACAACCCAACTGATTGGCTCGAACGCATTAAGAAGGAACGAATTTCCACAAATTAACTTTTAAGAAGGCACACCTGTTAATTAAAATGCATTCCAGGTGACTACCTCATGAAGCTGGTTGAGAGAATGCCAATAGTGTGCAAAGCTGTCATCAAGGCAAAGGGTGGCTATTTGAAGAATTCCAAATATAAAAAATATTTTGATTTGTTTCACACGTTTTTCGTTACTACATGATTCCATATGTGTTATTTCATAGTTTTGATGTCGTCACTATTATTCTACAATGTGAAAAATAGTAAAAATAAAGAAAAACCCTTGAATGAGTAGGTCTGTCCAAACCTTTGACTGGTAGTGTATATATATATATTTATATTATGTTGCGCCCCTACTTATGCAGATATTACAGATATGTACTCTGTTGTGTATTACTGTGTTTATTTTCTCACTTGGATGGTGCTTTCAGAAGCTGACAATTAGATTGTCAGGATGGGTAACATACTTTGTAGGTACATTACAAGTACCCCTCAAGATACACAGGATTTAGCTAGTTAAAATGAAGTGTAACACCTAGTAATCACATTGTACTTATGCAGATATTACATGTACTCTGTACTTAAACACGTGTATCTGGAGGGGTACTTACTTGTAATTAATGTGTACTTATATAGTACGTTACCCATCCTGACAAGCTGACCCTAATTGTATAGCTTCTGGAAGACGCTATACAGGATTTAACTAGTTAAAAAAGTGTAACACCTAGTAATGCCATTGTATTTATGCAGATATGACATGTACTCTGTGGTGTGCTAGTGTGTTTATCCTCCCACTTGGATGGTGCTTCCAGAAGCCTTAAAATGAGGGCCAGATTGACAGGATGAATAATGTACTATGGACAATGCATTCGGTGCATTCGGAAAGTATTCAGACCCCTTGACTTTTTCAACATTTTGTTCCGTTACAGCCTTATTCTAAAATGTATTAAATTATATTTTCCCTTATCGATGTACACACAATACCCCATAATGACGAAGCAAAAACAGGTTTTTATAAATTTTTGCAAATGTATAAAAAAAAAAGGAAATATCACATTTACATAAGTATTCAGACCCTTTACTCAGTACTTTGTTGAAGCACTTTTGGCAGCGATTACAGCTTCGAGTCTTCTTGGGTATGACTATACAACCTTGGCACACCTGTATTTGGGGAGTTTCTCCCATTCTTCTCTGCAGATCCTCTCGAGCTCTGTCAGGTTGGATGGGGAGCGTCGCTGCACAGCTATTTTCAGGTCTCTCCAGAGATGTTTGATCGGGTTCAAGTCCGGTCTCTGGCTGGGCCACTCAAGGACAATCAGAGACTTGTCCCAAAGCCACTCCTGCGTTGTCTTGGCTGTGTGGTTAGGGTCATTGTCCTGTTGGAAGGTGAACCTTCGCCCCAGTCTGAGGTCCTGAGCTCTCTAAAGCAGGTTTTCATCAAGGATCTCTCTGTACTTTGCTCTGTTCATCTTTCCCTCGATTCTGACTAGTCTCCCAGTCCCTGCCGCTGAAAAACATCCCCACAGCATGATGCTGCCACCACCATACTTCACCATAGGGATGGTGCCAGGTTTCCTCCAGACGTGACGATTGGCATTCAGGCCAAAGAGTTCAATCTTGGTTTCATCAGACCAGAGAATCTTGTTTCTCATGGTCTGAAAGTCCTTTAGCTGCCTTTTGGCAAACTGAGGAGTGGCTTACGTCTGGCCACTCTACCATAAAGGCCTGATTGGTGGAATGCTGCAGAGATGGTTGTCCTTCTGGAAGGTTTTCCCATCTCCACAGAGGAACTCTGGAGCTCGGTCAGAGTGACTATCGGGTTCTTGGTCACCTCCCTCGATTGCTCAGTTTGGCCGGGCGGCCCGATCTAGGAAGAGTCTTGGTGATTCCAAACTTCTTCCATTAAAGAATGATGGAGGCCACTGTGTTCTTGGGGACCTTTAATGGTGCAGAAATGTTTTGGTACCCTTTCCCAGATCTGTGCCTCAACATAATCCTGTCTTGGAGCTATACGGACAATTCCTTCCACCTCATGGCTTGGTTTTTGCGCTGACATGCACTGTCAACTGTGGGACCTTATACAGTGCTATGAAAAAGTATTTGCCCCCTTTCTAATTTTCTCTACTTTTGCATATTTGTGATACTGAATGTTATCAGATCTTCAACCAAAACCTAATATTAGATAAAGTGAACATAAGTGAACAAATAACACAACAATTACATATTTATTTAATTTATTTCATAAACAAAGTTATGCAACACCCAATTCCCCTGTGTGAAAAAGTAATTGCCCCCTTACACTCACTAACTGGTTGTGCCACTCTGCATTCCACAGTAAGAACATCATACCAAAGGTCAAGCATGGTGGTGGTGGTGTGATGGTTTGGGGATGCTTTGCTGCCTCAGGACCTGGACGACATGCCTTAATAGAAGGAACCATGAATTCTGCTCTGTATCAGAGAATTCTAAAGGAGAATGTCAGACCATCCGTCTGTGAGCTGAAGCTGAAGCGCAGCTGGGTCATGCAGCAAGACAATGATCCAAAACACACAATCAAGTCTACATGAAAATTGCTAAAAAAGCAACAAATATGAAGTTTTGGAATGGCCTAGTCAAAGTCCAGACCTAATCCCAATTGAGATGTTGTGGCAGGACTTGAAACGAGCAGTTCATGCTTGAAAACCCACAGGTCACTGAGTTAAAGCAGTTCTGCATGGAAGAGTGGGCCAAAATTCCTCCACAGCGACGTGAGAGACTGATCAACAACTACAGGAAGCATTTGGTTGGAGTCATTGCAGCTAAAGGTGGCACAACCAGTTATTGAGTGTAAGTGCAATTACTTTTTCACACAGGGGAATTGGGTGTTGCATAACTTTGTTTATGAAATAAATGAAATAAATATGTAATTGTTGTGTTATTTGTTCACTTATGTTCCCTTTATCTAATATTAGGTTTTGGTTGAAGATCTAATAACATTCAGTATCACAAATATGCAAAAGTAGAGAAAATTAGAAAGGGGGAAATACTTTTTCATAGCACTGTATAGTCAGGTGTGTGCCTTTCCAACTCATGTCCAATCAATTGAATTTACCACAGGTGGACTCCAATCAAGTTGTAGAAACATCTCAAGGATGATCAATGGAAACAGGATGCACCTAAGGTCAATTTCGAGTCTCATAGCAAAGGGTCTGAATACTTATGTAAATATGGTTTTTCTGTATTTTTCTGTATAAATTTGCAAACATTTCTAAAAACCTGTTTTCACTTTGTCATTATGGGGTATTGTGTGTAGATTGATGAGGGAAAACATGAATTAAATCAATTTTAGAATAAGGCTGTAACGTAACAAAATGTGGAAAAAGGGAAGGGGTCTGAATACTTTCCGAATGCACTGTAAGTACACATTAATTACAAGTAAGTACCCCTCAAGATATGCTTCATTTTAAGTAGCTAAATCCTGTGTAACACCTAGTAATTACGTTGTACTTATGCAGATATTACATGTACTCTGTGGTGTACTTGTGGGTTTAGCCACTTACTTGGATGGCAAGGAGTTTCCGGTTGTCATAATGGGTAATGTACACAGTAATTATAAGTATGGTAGACACCAGTCAGTGAGGTTGACCTATATCTTATCTGTTTTTGTAAACTCAATGAAGTTACAATTAACTACAATACATGTTACAGTGTAATTACACATGTAATTACACTGTAATAAGGACCCCTTAAAATGAAGTTTAGTGATTACAGGTATGAACTGGCCAATGTGGCCATTATAAGTAATGTCTAACCATTATTGTAAACACCCACTGGCTGATTTGCTGTTTGTTCAACAGATGAAGAGAGAAAAGTGAAATTCCATTGATTTAGCCAAATTCTTATACAGATGGGGAAGCCAAACATGTGGCGCAGAGAACTTCTCCCCTAAAATAAACTTAAGTTGGACCAACGCCCCACGCCCCAGACGTACACCCTGTCCTTTTGACAAACCCTCACTGACCCAGTCTCTCACCCCAGTCCCACTGCAGTCAATCTAAGAGGGTGTTAATATTAACTACCTTGAAGATGGCGAAGCCGATGGTGAGGTTCTCTCCCTGGCCGATACGTCTGTGGATCTTCATGTCTCTCTGCTGTAGGGAGATCAGAACCTCGTCCACCTCCTTGGTCATGTCAAACAGGTACTGTGGGTTCTGTAGGAAGGTATGTTTGTGGTTCATGCAGCCTCCACAGCGGTTGTGCAGGGGGTCTGAATGCTTGGTCCAACTCCCGAAATGCATCACTTCGTGCCATGTCTTGTGGATGGTGAGCAGAGAGGTGTTGATGAGATGACACACGTCTGCGTCCGTGAAGTACTTACACCAGTCTGTAAATGCCATCCTATGGAGATAACACATAGAGGCACAAATTAAGATTGGTAGATACCATAAAACCTCAATTAAACGCTGAGTCTCAAATAGCCGCCTGTCCCTTTTGATAGCCGGGCAATGGCACACAATTCAGCAAATAAACACCTGTTTCAAATAAACGCTGGGTCTAAATAAATAATTCAGTGATTAATCAAAACAAGTATGGAAATCATCTGTTTTTACACAGATTATCCATTATATTGACCAGATACTCAAGTAGACGCTCTAACAATTAAAATAAATGTCTTCAAAAATGGAAGGCAGTCGGGAGGAGTCAAGATCTGGTGGGACCATTCTAGCCAATGAGAGGGCAGATACAGTACGTGTGTGAACAACTAACCTAACGTAGCAGGCGTAAAAGAAACACCTGAAACTAGATCTCCTACATACTGGTCTTGACAAGAAGAGGTTCTGTTCAGCACTATTCAACCAATCCAGTAAATGTGGAGGAGGAGATAAAATGGAGTGTCGCCTTGTTAACGTTTCAAGGTGGAAATCATGTGTCACATTCCCTCTTTCCATTTCCCCTGAAAACCGGAACATCCCGTTGTTGGGGATTCGGCAGAGGCTAGTGAACATCAGGCACAACTCCGATATAAAGTGTTTTATCTCAAAGTTGTCGAGATGTCACGTGTCCTACTTACAGTGAGGGAAAAAAGTATTTGATCCCCTGCTGATTTTGTACGTTTGCCCACTGACAAAGAAATTATCTGTCTATAATTTTAATGGTAGGTTTATTTGAACAGTGAGAGACAGAATAACAACAAAGAAATCCAGAAAAACGCATGTCAAAAATGTTATAAATTGATTTGCATTTTATTGAGGGATATAAGTATTTGACCCCCTCTCAATCAGAAAGATTTCTGGCTCCCAGGTGTCTTTTATACAGGTAACGAGCTGAGATTAGGAGCACACTCTGTACACCTACACAAGGCTGGAATGGGCAACAAGACCATCGCCAAGCAGCTTGGTGAGAAGGTGACAACAGTTGGTGCGATTATTCGCAAATGGAAGAAACACAAAATAACTGTCAATCTCCCTCGGCCTGGGGCTCCATGCAAGATCTCACCTCGTGGAGTTGCAATGATCTTGAGAACGGTGAGGAATCAGCCCAGAACTACACGGGAGGATCTTGTCAATGATCTCAAGGCAGCTGGGACCATAGTCACCAAGAAAACAATTGGTAACACATTACGCCGTGAAGGACTGAAATCCACAAGGCCCCCCTGCTGAAGAAAGCACATATATAGGCCCGTCTGAAGTTTGCCAATGAACATCTGAATGATTCAGAGGAGAACTGTGTGAAAGTGTTGTGGTCAGATTAGACCAAAATCGAGCTCTTTGGCATCAACTCAACTCGCCGTGTTTGGAGGAGGAGGAATGCTGCCTATGACCCCAAGAACACCATCCACATGGAGGTGGAAACATTATGCTTTGGGGGTGTATTTCTGCTAAAGGGACAGGACAACTTTACCGCATCAAAGGGACGATGGACTGGGCCATGTACCATCATATCTTGGGTGAGAACCTCCTTCCCTCAGCCAGGGCATTGGAAATGGGTCGTGGATGGGTATTCCAGCATGACAATGACCCAAAACACACGGCCAAGGCAACAAACGAGTGGCTCAAGAAGAAGCACATTAAGGTCCTGGAGTGGCCTAGCCATTCTCCAGACCTTAATCCCATAGAAAATCTGTGGGGGGAGCTGAAGGTTCGAGTTGCCAAACGTCAGCCTCGAAACCTTAATGACTTGGTCTGCAAAGAGGAGTGGGACAAAATCCCTCCTGAGATGTGTACAAATCTGGTGGCCAACTACAAGAAACGTCTGACCTCTGTGATTGCCAACAAGGGTTTTGCCACCAAGTACTAAGTCATGTTTTGCAGAGGGGTCAAATACTTATTTCCCTCATTAAAATGCAAATCAATTCATACAATTTTTGACATGCGTTTTTCTGGATTATTTTGTAGTTATTCTGTCTCTCACTGTTCAAATAAACCTACCATTAAAATTATAGACTGATCATGTCTTTGTCAGTGGGCAAACGTACAATATCAGCAGGGGATCAAATACTTTTTTCCCTCACTGTATATCAGTACACTCATAACAACCTAAGCATTACAAAACTTATATTAGATCAAATAAGCCACATGTAGCAAATAAGCCACATGTAGCAAATAAGCCACAACATTTTTTGTTAACCAAATTCGACACTCTCTCATTGACCTCCCTGGAAATATCGTCACCTTGTGGAAAAGACAGAAAGCAAAAACAGCACAAAAACAAGCACAAAAACAGTCAACAACTTCAGGAGTACAGACCCCCAGACCAATCGCCCTTTAGTGACAAAAGTAAGAACTGCTGAAAAATCACAGTCAAAGGAGAATAATTATTAAGGAAAATATATATTTCTTCAAGAAATGTGACACAGTGTGTAAATGATAACACATTAGTGCAGGAAATGAAGAAATTGATTAAAATGCTAGAAGTGAATGCTGGAATTAAACAATTAACTATGCAAATGAGCAAAAGCTGTGTGCTTCAGCCTGGCTGAAATAGAAGCCTGTCTGTAATAAGCGCCTGTTGTGTTCCGTGATTTAAGCAAATAAACTCCCCGGGCTATTAATTTCAGTTTTACAGTAGATAAAACACTATCTCACGCACTGAACAGAAGAGGTAATAGTCTTTAATTGTTTTGTTTACACTCACCAGAACTCCCCATCGTTTTCTACTGTGATGCCAAGCTTATCCCTCTCCATGCTGCCAACCTTTTCCCATTCTGCTGAACTGAAGTGAGAGAGGGGGAGGGGCAACAGGAAATAGAGGGAGAATGAGATGAGTTGATGAGGTCACTTGTGCACTGAAGTGTGGAGAGGTTGATCAGTACGTGAGAGGGGAGGATAAAGGCTCAATGTCCTCCACACCTGTCACTCCAGGCTCTGTTCCACTCTGTTTTTCCCCACGGGTTTCTCATGCGGATCAGGGGGATGGACTTGTTCTGGAAGTAGGCCATCAGATCGTGGCCCAACCGTACCTTCTTCACTGCAGTCACTGAGTAGGCATGGCCCTTCACTAGCCCACACGCCATCCAAGCCTCGCTTTCAGAAGGAGACGCCTAAGAGAGTGACAAACACATAAGTCAGTCACTTCCCACTGGGCACACACTGGTTGAATAAATGTTGTTTCAGCATAATTTGTCAACGATTTGTGACATGAAATCAACGTGGAAAATACATTGGATTTAAAAAAAGGTAATTCAACCAGCCTTGTAAACATTGAAATTAGGGTAAAACTTCTACGTAACCTGACTAACTGATTGTTACAGCAATCTAATTTCAACATAATTATCAGAACTATGTATAAGTTAAAATTGCATTGAAAATTCCACATAGAAATGGTTGAAATTATGTTTAATTTTTATTTGATTAGACACATTTAATTTGACCTTGTTTCAATGTTGATAGTAAAATTATATGTTTGAATCAACTTCATTGTTTCAACATCATGCTATCAACCTACAGTGGCTTGCGAAAGTATTCACCCCCCTTGGCATTTTTCTTATTTTGTTGCCTTACAACCTGGAATTAAAATTAATTTTGGGGGGGTTTGTATCATTTGATTTACACAACATGCCTACCACTTTGAAGATGCAAAATATTTTTTATTGTGAAACAAACAAGAAATAAGACAAAAAAACAGAAAACTTGAGCATGCATAACTATTCACCCCCCCAAAGTCAATACTTTCTAGAGCCACCTTTTGCAGCAATTACAGCTGCAAGTCTCTTGGGGTATGTCTCTATAAGCTTGGCAAATCTAGCCACTGGGATTTTTGCCCATTCTTCAAGACAAAACTGCTCCAGCTCCTTCAAGTTGGATGGGTTCCGCTGGTGTACAGCAGTCTTTAAGTCATACCACAGATTAAAAAATTGGATTGAGGTCTGGGCTTTGACTAGGCCGTTCCAACACATTTAAATGTTTCCCCTTAAACCACTCGACTGTTGCTTTAGCAATATACTTAGGGTCATTGTCCTGCTGGAAGGTGAACCTCCGTCCCAGTCTCAAATCTCTGGAAGACTGAAACAGGTTTCCCTCAAGAATTTCCCTGTATTTAGCGCCATCCATCATTCCTTCAATTCTGATCAGTTTCCCAGTCCCTGCCGATGAAAACCATCCCCACAGCATGATGATGCCACCACCATGCTTCACTGTGGGGATGGTGTTCTCGGGGTGATGAGAGGTATTGGGTTTGCGCCAGACATAACGTTTTCCTTGATGGCCAAAAAGCTCAATTCTAGTCTCATCTGACCAGAGTACCTTCTTCCATATGTTTGCGGAGTCTCCCACATGGCTTTTGGCGAACACCAAAAGTGTTTGCTTATTTTTTTCTTTAAGCAATGGCTTTTTTCTGGCCACACTTCCGTAAAGACCAGCTCTGTGGAGTGTATGGCTTAAAGTGGTCCTATGGACATATACTCCAATCTCCACTGTGGAGCTTTGCAGCTCCTTCAGGGTTATCTTTGGTCTCTTTGTTGCCTCTCTGATTAATGCCCTCCTTGCCTGGTCCTTGAGTTTTAGTGGGCGGCCCCCTCTTGGCAGGTTTGTTGTGGTGCCATTTAATGGTGGATTTAATGGTGCTCCGTGGGATGTTCAAAGTTTCTGATATTTTTTTATAACCCAACCCTGATCTGTACTTCTCCACAACTCTGTCCCTGGCCTGTTTGGAGAGCTCCTTGGTCTTCATGGTGCCACTTGCTTGGTGGTGCTCCCTTGCTTAGTGGTGTTGCAGACTCTGGGGCCTTTCAGAACAGGTGTGTATATATACTGAGACCATCTGACAGATCATGTGACACTTAGATTGCACAGGTGGACTTTATTTAACTAATTATGTGACTTCTGAAGGTAATTGGTTGCACCAGATCTTATTTAGGGGCTTCATAGCAAAGGGGGTGAATACATATGCACGCATCACTTTTCCGTTATTTATTTTGTATAATTCTTTGAAACAAGTTATTTTTTTCATTTCACTTCACCAATTTGACTATTTTGTGTATGTCCATTACATGAAATCCAAATAAAAATCAATTTAAATTGCAGGATGTAATGCAACAAAATAGGAAAAACGCCAAGGGGGATGAGTACTTTTGCAAGGCACTGTAAATAAAGAGGTATATTGAAATAAAATGAGAAGCCACAGTTCAACTATTTCTACTTGAACAGTGACTCCTACTGGTATATGAGGGGTAATGCAGTTAAAGTGAGAACAAGTCTACTATCCAGATGCCTACTTCTATGTACCCTGCTTAGCTTTGGAAACAATCTATGCTCATTTCAGCTGAGCTATCATGTCAATCCATTTAGACATTGATCAGCTTCCATACACTGTAAAAATAAATCTAGTTGTTTCATCTAAATTTTATTAAGTAACTGGTTGCACAGACATTTTTTGGGGTTTACTCAACCTTTTGGTCAAAGTGTTACCTGAACTTAACATTTTTAGTTGGCCCAAACTTAGCTCCAACATGAGACAACGTAGGCAAAAATTCAGTCAACTTAAAATGACGTGTTTGCTCAAATAGTCTCTTATGTTCATTCAATATAAATTATTATTTTGGCATCTTACCTAAAAAATAGGCTGTGGAACTAGGTACACACACTGCTTTAAAAGCAATGTGTGTACCTTGATCCACAGCCTTTTTTAATAAGATGCCCAATTAATAGTTTATTTGACATACATTGTGCATTTATACAGTAATTCATATTCAACATGTCCTCACCTGGGATTTGAACTCACAACCTCTCTGATTCAGTTGGGTTGGGTTAAATGTGGAAGACACATTTCAGTTAAATGCATTCAGTTGTACAACGGACTAGGTATCACCCTTTCCCTTTCTCTTTCCCTTTCACAGCATTACAATATTTCTGCTATGCCACCATGTCTGTGTCAGTAACTGACTTCACCTGTATTGTTACAATTTGCACTTCAAAGTAAATCTCAGCTCTGTTAAAAGTACCTTCAAGAAAAACACTTTTATTAATCATAGTGATTGAGGAGTAACATTAAAACATAGTAATATGCCACACCAACATTAGACAATTACACAGAAAAACCTAAAATCAGAACGCCATAAATCAAGAGGTTGTGAGTTCAGCTCCCAGGTGAGGACATGATGAATAATAATGCTGTATAAATGAACATGCACAATATAATCATGTTTGTCAAAAATGTAAGTAGAAAATATTGTATATTAAAAGCACTGTGTGTGTAACCAGTTGCGCATACTTTTTTTAAAAGTTAAGATGCCCAAATAATGATTTATAGTTGAATGAACATATTAGACAAGTTGAGCAAACACATAATTTTAAATTGACAGAATTTCTTTGCCAACGTTTTCTCAAGTTGGAGCTAAGTTTGGGCCAACAATTTTTTGTTTGTTCAGTTAACAGTAAATTCGGAGTGAGGTTGGGTTTACAAATACTATATTGACATCTGATTTGCCCAACAAAGGACACAATTTTTTCAACTTGTAGCTAGGTATGCAATCATTCATCCATGGTTGATTGGAGCTTTGGAAGTTTAGTAGTAGTTACCATTAGCCCTATAAATATAATGCCTAATTCATTATATTAATAATACACTTTTTCAGGTAAAGTCAATGTATTTAAGTTGAAGTTTTACCTTAAGTTCAATGTTTACAACGCTGGTTGAAATGAGATGAAAACTGTACTGGTTGATGACATTTTTCAAATCCAATGTATTATCCACGTTGATTCCACATCACAATACGTTGACAAATTACGTTGAAACAACACTGATTTAAATCAGTGTTTGTCCAGTGGGTTGTGTCCCTGTGACAATTACCTGTGACTATATACAGTGTGCTGACCAATTGAAAATGATCAATTGAGAAGACAGACCTTGATGGAGCAGCTGATGATTCCACCCCTGTCGTAGACTTTGAGCAAGTCCTCAAACAGGTTGTCCATTTTCTCCTGGTCTTTGTGGAAAACTTCAGCCTCCAGGTTAATGGCCTCTGCCACGGCTCCACTGAAATCAACAACCGCATCCCCAGTGTTGCCCCCGTCCAGAGACTCATAACAGCCAGAGAGCCTGGAGACAAGAGGAGAGAGAGAAGAGTCAGAAGAGGATACAGAGAGGTCAGAGGGCAAAAAAAGGGAGTTGAAAGGAGGATTGAGTAATGTTTAGAGTATACTGACTTGGCATAGGCTTTTTCAAGCAGGGCACTCCAGAACTCGTTGTTGAGTTTGGAGTGGCAGTAGATGAGCTCTCCGTTGATGGTGGGCAGGCGGTCATCCACCACCACATCAACCCACTCCCCAAACACCCAGAACTGGAAGTGGAAGATACCAGCATAGTTCTCAGGGTGCTTGGAGTCCCACTCCTGCTCCTTCCAGTCAGGGATGACCTGTCAACACACAGGGCTTCACAGTGAACCACATGTCTAGTCAAATGTTAATAGTTTTCAACTTGGGCGGGAATATTGGCGAGTACTTATTTTCCTTGCCAGGTTCATTTGAATTGAAGGAAAATATGAATGTTGCTGAGGGGTAGTAGGGTAATTTAAGAAGGAAAGATTACACTCTTTTCCATTCAATGACAGTAAAAGCCCCTCAGGTGAAAGTTACGTAAATCTTGAGTCAGGTATCAACAGTATGGAATGACATAGATATCCACCCACATACTTCACATTCATTATGTATGTGTTCCTTCCCAAACAGCACCATGTATATACCCATAAAGGGACTAAAGGAAACTGATACACACGGAAATACACATACAGTCCTCTCTTGCGACACTCATCTCAGACTGTGACCAGACAGGAGGAAACCAAACTCACCTTCTGCCAGAGGTCTGGTTTCAGTGCCAAGCAGGAGCATGCCGCCACAAACCAGCAGTTACCCACAAGGCCTTGGTTCAGGTCATGGGAGCTGATGCCCTCCACAAACAGATGAGGCTCATTGCTGATTTCCTGTACCAACGAGAGGATTCAGAAAATGCAATTACTTCTTAGAATGTGCTCAGTGATACATTATGCTTGTAACAATAGTCACAAATCCTTGTCAAATAGTTCTGGCTTAGAGCATGTTTTCGTTTAAAATGAGTTGGAACTCTCTTGAGGTGTTGTACTTTTGTGATAAATAAGAAAATGTATTTTCTCTTCTTGTCACTTGAGCTCTTGAGCAATATGCCATATAAAGCACAGATACAGGAATACATTAAACAGGAATACTTTAACTCTGTCTCCCACATCTGAACAGAATGGCAGTGATACAACACATTGTTATGATGTTTTCATAGTGTGGTGGGAACCAGGTTGAATTTAGTAGATAAGCGATTCTGAGCGCCGCACAGTCGGAGTACCAAGGGATTCCATTATGTCGAGGGAGATTACTGAGGTTGATCTTAGAATGATTGATGGACATGATATACTGACTTGGGGTACAAGGTAATAACATCAAAGAAGGGAGTGCCCATTGAGGGTTGCCAGATGTTCTTGAAGAAACGTGTAATCTAAGCTATATAAGCTGAGATATTTTCTTTGTTCAGTAGTTCGGAATAGCTAGAGGCGAAGCACATGCCTTTTGTTATAACAAACCTGGTACCGACTATTAAACCTTTGTATTAACTTTCCACAGAGTTGTCTAAGTATATTCTTACATCCTTAATTACTTGATACCCGAGAAACTCATCATAACACACATGTTCTGTCATATACTGTATATCTCACACACTATGTAAAGTACACACTTCGAGACCATTTCCAGTAACACCCTCACCCCAATTTCACACCACAGTTTGATGTTTGTCACCACCATGACCATTGTGGATGACATTCACCATGACATACATGGCCCAGGCCAGCGTTGTTGTTCCTTATAGACAACTTTTAACACAATCCTCAGAGACAACCACTCAAAAGGAATTAACCTTTGAAGTACTCCATCACAAAATATTATATGAGCAAAAAACACCTTTCACAATACCTTTATATGGCTAAATATAACACAGTCATATAATGCAAGAGGTCTTGTAAAAGTCTTGTAAAAGCCAGAACATATGAAAATTCAATCATAGACATGTGTCACGCCCTGGCTCTGGGGACTCTCGTATGTTGAGCCAGGGTGTTAGTTTCTATGTTTTGTGTTGTAGGTTGTGGGTCTAGTTTGCATTTCTATGTTGGCCAGGGTGGCTCCCAATCAGAGACGGCTGTAGCTCGTTGTCTCTGATTGGGAGCCATACTTAGGTAGCCGTTAGGCATTCGTTTGGTGTGGTTTCTTGTTCCAGTATAGGTTTGTGCTAGAACCGAGGACGTCACGTTATCGTTTGTTGTTTTTGTTCGTGTGTTCATTCCAAATAAAAATAAGTATGTTCGCAAATAACGCTGTGCATTGGTCCACTGTTTCCAACGATCGTGACAGAAGAAACCACCAAAACTGGACCAAGCAGCGTGTCCAGGAGCCATCACCAGGGGAATCTCTAGCGGATCTCCTTTGCCACCTCGACTGGGTCAAGCCGTGTGAGGAGGAGAGAGGCTGGACTTGGAAGCAGAAGGGCGAAAGTCTGGCGAGAGCTATAGAGGCCTGGCCCACGGGGAGGAGAGACGCCCAGAACATTTTTAGGGGGGGGCTCACGCCGTGGACGACGGGGCAGCAGGAGGCCGCCAGGTTACGGGAGTCACTGGTCACCAGGGGGAAGGAGGATGTAGAGGCACGGCGAGAGGTACTGGGGTGTGTTGCCAGTCCGGTCCGGCCCGTTCCTGATCCCCGCGTAGGGCCAGTGGTGCGCTTCGTCAGCCCGGTCCGGCCCGTTCTTGCTCCCCGCACCAAGCCAGTGGTGCGCTTCGTCAGCCCGGTCCGGCCTGTTCCTGCTCCCCGCACCAAGCCAATGGTGCGCGTCGCCAGCCCGGCCCGGCCTGTTCCTGCTCCCCGCACCAAGCCAATGGTGCGCGTCGCCAGCCCGGCCCGGCCTGTTCCTGCTCCCCGCACCAAGCCAATGGTGCGCGTCGCCAGCCCGGCCCGGCCTGCTCCTGCTCAACGCACCAAGCCAATGGTGCGCGTCGCCAGCCCGGCCCGGCCTGTTCCTGCTCCCCGCACCAAGCCTATGGTGCGCGTCGCCAGCCCGGCCCGGCCTGTTCCTGCTCCCCGCACCAAGCCAATGGTGCGCGTCGCCAGCCCGGTTCGGCCCGTCCCTGCTCCCCGCACCAAGCCAATGGTGCGCGTCGTCAGCCCGGTCCGGCCCGTCCCTGCTCCCCGCACCAAGCCTATGGTGCGCGTCGCCAGCCCGGCCCGGCCTGTTCCTGCTCCCCGCACCAAGCCAATGGTGCGCGTCATCAGCCCGGTCCGGCCCGTCCCTGCTCCCCGCACCAAGCCTGTGGTGCGCGTCGTCAGTCCGGCACAGCCCGTGCCTGTTCCACCGGTGCCTGGTCCGGCACCGGTCAGCTGCTCCACTCTGGAGCTAGAGCAATCCGCTCCACCAGTGTTCAGTCCAGCTCCGGCCAGCAGGGCCAGACCGGACCAGGGGCGCTTTGGGGGGTTAGAGAGGGAGTGGGGGTCATACCCGGATCCGGATCCGCCGCCGAGGCGGAGTGCCCACCCGGTCCCTCCCCTGTTGTGTTTGGTTGGCGCGGTCGGAGTCCACGCCTTTGGGGGGGGGGGGGGGGGGGGGAGGGTACTGTCACGCCCTGGCTCTGGGGACTCTCATATGTTGAGCCAGGGTGTTAGTTTCTATGTTTTGTGTTGTAGGTTGTGGGTCTAGTTTGCATTTCTATGTTGGCCAGGGTGGCTCCCAATCAGAGACGGCTGTAGCTCGTTGTCTCTGATTGGGAGCCATACTTAGGTAGCCGTTAGGCATTCGTTTGGTGTGGTTTCTTGTTCCAGTATAGGTTTGTGCTAGAACCGAGGATGTCACGTTATCGTTTGTTGTTTTTGTTCGTGTGTTCATTCCAAATAAAAAGAAGTATGTTCGCAAATAACGCTGCGCATTGGTCCACTGTTTCCAACGATCGTGACAACATGACATCATTGGTTTCAATAATGCACCAGAGGCAGGCCATGATCTGGTCCCAGACAGCAGTCTAGAGCACTCTGATAAGCTTTAATTTGACTAACATCAAACATTAAACTATAAATTGGTGTTTTAAGCAATACAATTTTCCCCAAACTACTAGGAAAAACATTAGCAATACAAATTATTTCAGTGAGCCATTAAAGCTTGTGACATTCTATTTCCTGTTTCATGTTTTTGCATGCAGACTCTGCTTTTGGTATTAAACAAATATACAGTGAGGGAAAAAAGTATTTGATCCCCTGCTGATTTTGTACGTTTGCCCACTGACAAAGAAATTATCTGTCTATAATTTTAATGGTAGGTTTATTTGAACAGTGAGAGACAGAATAACAACAAAGAAATCCAGAAAAACGCATGTCAAAAATGTTATAAATTGATTTGCATTTTAATGAGAGAAATAAGTATTTGACCCCCTCTCAATCAGAAAGTTGTCTGGCTCCCAGGTGTCTTTTATACAGGTAACGAGCTGAGATTAGGAGCACACTCTTAAAGGGAGTGCTCCTAATCTCACCTTGTTACCTGTATAAAAGACACCTGTCCACAGAAGCAATCAATCAATCAGATTCTAAACTCTCCACCATGGCCAAGACCAAAGAGCTCTCCAAGGATGTCAGGGACAAGATTGTAGACCTACACAAGGCTGGAATGGGCTACAAGACCATCGCCAAGCAGCTTGGTGAGAAGGTGACAACAGTTGGTGTGATTATTTGCAAATGGAAGAAACACAAAATAACTGTCAATCTCCCTCGGCCTGGGGCTCCATGCAAGATCTCACCTCGTGGAGTTGCAATGATCATGAGAACAGTGAGGAATCAGCCCAGAACTACATGGGTGTCACGGTTTCGGCCGAGGCTGCCTCTCTTCCTTGCTCGGGCAGGCTTCGGCGGTCGTCGTCTCCGGAGTACTAGCTGCCACCGTTGTATGTTTTCGATGTTTGTTTGGTTTTGTCTTGATGTTTTACACCTGTTATCGTTTAGCGTTAATTATTGTCCTATAAGTTCTCGTTGTGCTTGTCAGGTGTTGTGTGTGATTGCGCGACTGTGGGTTGTTTGTGCTTCGTTGTTTCCTCCTCTGTTTGAGTGAGGGTTCTCGCACATGTTAGTGCGCATTTTGTTTTACGCCTGTGTGCGTATTTTCTCGCCTCCGGGCTTTTTTGGCTCGTGTTCTAAGTGATTGTTCACTAAAGTCTTTTGGACTAAGTTTCTGCGTCCTGCGCCTGATTCCTGCACCACACCCACCTACAGCACCCACTGACAGAATCACACACCCAAGATGGAATCAGCAGGAGCCGCAGCAGCACCTGAGTCTCTGGAGGAGCGGGTCCGCGAGCAGAACGACCAGATCCTACGTATCGGAACCGCCCTTCAGGACGTGATCAACACGATTCAACGCTGGGAGACCAGAGGTACACCCACCCCTCCACCTTCCGTGCCATCACCATCGGCCAGTCAGCCCATTCAAGCTCCGGAACCCAGGGGAATTCGGCTCTCGCTCCCGAGGGCATATGATGGGACCGCTGCCGGGTGTCAGGGCTTCCTTCTACAGGTGGAGCTATACCTGGCCACCGTACACACGGCGCCCTCGGGACACGAGAGCGTGTCCGCCCTCATCTCCTGTCTCACCGGCAAGGCGTTGGAATGGGCCAACGCCGAGTGGAGGAGAATAGACGCCTCCACTATCACCTACTCAGAGTTCTCCCGCCGCTTCAGGGCTGTGTTTGACCATCCACCTGAGGGGAAGGCGGCGGGAGAGCGGCTATTCCACCTCCGGCAGGGGAGGAGGAGCGCCCAGGAGTTCGCTTTAGAATTCCGAACTCTAGCAGCAGATGCAGGGTGGAATGAGCGGGCCCTCATCGATCACTACCGCTGTAGTCTACGAGAGGACGTCCGTCGGGAGCTGGCCTGCAGGGATACCAGCCTCACTTTCGATCAGTTAGTGGACATGTCCATCAGGCTGGACACCCTGCTGGCTACCCGCGGACGTTCCGAGGAGGGTCCGTCCATTCCATCCTCCAGCACCTCCGAGCCGAGCCCTATGGAGCTCGGGGGTGCTGGCGCTAGAGAGAGGAGGGGTCGGAGCACGAGGGGGGCCGTCCCCTGCACCAACTGTGGCCGTGGAGGACACACCGCGGCTAGGTGCTGGGGAGGGTCTCCTAGGGGAGAAGACGGCAGGCTCCGCACTGGGGAGTCCTTCCAGGTAAGTAGGCGCCCCACTTACCCAGAGCTCTCTGTTGCGCACTTCTGTATACCTGTGCTATTTCCACAGGTTGCACCTCATTCCCAGCATAAGGCGCTAGTAGATTCAGGCGCGGCTGGGAATTTTGTTGATAGAAAATTTTGTTTAGAATTAGGGATTCCCCTTCTTCCTGTTGACGTCCCATTCCCCGTTCATGCCCTAGATAGCCGTCCGTTGGGATCGGGCTTGATCAGGGAAGTCACAGCACCACTTAGGATGTGTACGCAGGGGGGTCATGAGGAGATTATCCAACTATATCTGATCGACTCGCCTGCGTATCCGGTGGTGCTGGGAATGCCCTGGTTGAGTATCCATAATCCATCTATTTCGTGGCAGGAGAGGGCTCTGATGGAGTGGTCTGCCCAGTGTGTGGGGCGATGTTTAGGTGTTTCCGTGGGGGCTACCTCGGTGGAGAGTCCAAACCAGGTGCCCGCATTGCACATTCCCCCCGAGTATGAGGATTTGGCTGTTGTGTTCAGTAAGTCGAGGGCGACGCAGTTACCTCCTCATAGGCAGGGAGATTGTGCGATAGACCTCCAGGCAGGAGCTGCGCTCCCACGGAGCCATGTGTATCCTCTGTCTCAAGAGGAGAAGAGAGCTATGGAGACTTACATAGACAAATCTCTGAGACAAGGATACATACGGCCATCCACTTCCCCTGCGTCCTCGAGTTTATTTTTTGTGAAGAAGAAGGATGGAGGGTTACGCCCGTGCATTGATTACCGTAGTCTCAATCAGATCACGGTGAAGTACAGTTATCCACTTCCTCTGATTGCGACCATGACGGAGTCATTGCACGGGGCGCGTTTCTTCACAAAATTAGATCTCAGGAGCGCTTACAACTTGGTACGCATTAGAGGGGGCGATGAATGGAAGACAGCGTTTAGTACCACCTCGGGTCATTACGAGGATCTTGTCATGCCATACGGGTTGATGAACGCTCCTTCAGTTTTCCAATCATTCGTGGATGAGATCTTCAGGGACATGCAGGGGCAGGGGGTGGTCGTGTACATAGATGACATTCTTGTGTACTCATCTACCCGAGTCGAGCATGTGGCCCTGGTGCGCCGAGTGTTGAGGAGGCTGTTGGAGCACGACCTGTATGTCAAGGCAGAGAAATGTCTGTTCTTCCAGGAGTCGATCTCCTTTTTGGGTTATCAGTTGTCTGCGTCAGGGGTGAAGATGGAAGTTGACCGGGTGTCAGCCGTGCGTAATTGGCAGACTCCAACCACTGTTAAAGAGGTGCAGCAGTTTTGGGGGTTTGCAAATTACTACCGGAGGTTTATCCGGGGTTTTGGACAGGTGGCAGCTCCCATAACGTCTCTTTTGAAGGGGGGTCCGGTGCGTTTGCAGTGGTCAGCCGAGGCGGACAGGGCTTTTGGGAGACTGAAGGACCTGTTTACTTCGGCTCCGGTGCTGGCGCATCCGGATCCCGCTTTACCATTTCAGGTAGAGGTGGACGCGTCAGAGGCCGGTATAGGGGCCGTGCTTTCGCAACGGTCCGGCACGCCACCTAAACTCCGCCCCTGTGCTTTTTATTCCAAAAAGCTCAGTCCGGCGGAGCGAAATTATGACGTAGGGGACAGGGAGCTGTTAGCCGTGGTACAGGCCCTAAAGGTGTGGAGGCATTGGCTTGAGGGGGCTCAACACCCTTTTCTCATTTTGACTGACCACCGTAACCTGGAGTACATCCGGGCAGCTAGGAGACTGAACCCTCGCCAGGCGCGGTGGAACATGTTTTTGGCCCGGTTCGTATTTAAGATCACGTACATCCCTGGGTCACAGAACGGTAAGGCAGACGCACTGTCTCGGCGGTATGACACGGAGGAGAGGTCCGTGGAGCCCACTCCCATACTGCCGGAGTCTTGTCTGGTGGCACCGGTAGTGTGGGAGGTCGATGCTGAAATCGAGCGGGCGTTGCGCACCGACCCTAGTCCTCCTCAATGCCCGGAGGGTCGGACGTACGTCCCGCTCGAGGTTCGGGATCGATTGATATATTGGGCTCACACGTCACCCTCCTCTGGACATCCTGGTATTGGCCGGACAGTGCACTGCCTTAGTGCTAAGTACTGGTGGCCCACGTTAGCCAGGGATGTGAGGGTTTATGTCTCCTCCTGCTCGGTGTGCGCCCAGTGTAAGGCGCCTAGACATCTGCCTAGGGGTAAGTTACAACCCCTGCCCGTTCCACAACGACCATGGTCTCACCTCTCGGTGGACTTCATCACTGACCTTCCCCCCTCGCAGGGGAATACTACTATACTGGTCGTTGTGGACCGGTTCTCTAAGGCCTGTCGTTTGCTCCCTATGCCGGGCCTTCCTACTGCCCTACAGACCGCCGAAGCTCTATTCACCCACGTTTTCCGGCACTACGGGGTACCTGAGGATATTGTGTCTGATCGAGGTCCCCAGTTCACCTCCAGAGTCTGGAGAGCATTTATGGAGCGTTTGGGGTCTCGGTGAGCCTTACCTCGGGTTACCATCCAGAGAGTAATGGGCAGGTGGAACGCGTGAACCAGGATGTGGGTAGGTTTCTTAGATCATACTGCCAGGGCCGGCCGGAGGAGTGGGCACGGTATGTTCCCTGGGCAGAAATGGCCCAGAATTCCCTACGCCACTCCTCAACTAACCTAACCCCTTTCCAATGTGTGTTAGGTTACCAGCCGGTTCTGGCACCATGGCAGCAGAGCCAGATCGAGGCTCCTGCGGTGGATGAGTGGGTGCGGCGCTCAGAGGAGACGTGGGAAGCTGCACACGTCCACCTGCAGCGGGCCATCCGTCGTCAGAAGGCGAGCGCCGATCTCCACCGCAGTGAGGGGCCGGTGTACGCACCTGGTGATCGAGTCTGGCTCTCTACCAGAAACCTGCCCCTCCGCCTGCCCTGCCGGACACTGGGTCGGCGGTTTGTGGGGCCGTTTAAAGTCCTGAGAAGATTGAACGAGGTGTGTTACAGATTACAACTGCCTAGTGACTATCGTATTAACCCCTCGTTCCATGTGTCTCTTCTCAGGCCGGTGGTAGCTGGTCCACTCCAGGAAGATGAGATCAGAGAGACTCCTCCGCCCCCATTGGACATCGAGGGGGCACCGGCGTACACCGTGCGGTCCATCTTGGATTCGAGACGTCGGATGGGGGGTCTCCAATATCTCGTGGAGTGGGAGGGGTACGGCCCGGAGGAACGGTGCTGGGTGCCGAGGAGAGACATTTTGGACCCGTCTCTCCTGACAGAATTCCACCGTAGTCACCCGACGCGCCCTGCTCCGCATCCTCCTGGTCGTCCCCGAGGCCGGGGTCGGCGCACGGCTGGAGCCGCGCGTCAAGGGGGTGGGTACTGTCACGGTTTCGGCCGAGGCTGCCTCTCTTCCTTGCTCGGGCAGGCTTCGGCGGTCGTCGTCTCCGGAGTACTAGCTGCCACCGTTGTATGTTTCAATGTTCGTTTGGTTTTGTCTTGATGTTGTACACCTGTTATCGTTTAGCGTTAATTATTGTCCTATAAGTTCTCGTTGTGCTTGTCAGGTGTTGTGTGTGATTGCGCGACTGTTGGTTGTTTGTGCTTCGTTGTTTCCTCCTCTGTTTGAGTGAGGGTTCTCGCACATGTTAGTGCGCATTTTGTTTTACGCCTGTGTGCATATTTTCTCGCCTCCGGGCTTTTTTGGCTCGTGTTCTAAGTGATTGTTCACTAAAGTCTTTTGGACTAAGTTTCTGCGTCCTGCGCCTGATTCCTGCACCACACCCACCTACAGCACCCACTGACAACGGGAGGATCTTGTCAATGATCTCAAGGCAGCTGGGACCATAGTCACCAAGAAAACAATTGGTAACACACTACGCCGTGAAGGACTGAAATCCTGCAGCGCCCGCAAGGTCCCCCTGCTCAAGAAAGCACATATACAGGCCCGTCTGAAGTTTGCCAATGAACATCTGAATGATTCAAAGGAGAACTGGGTGAAAGTGTTGTGGTCAGATGAGACCAAAATCGAGCTCTTTGGCATCAACTCAACTCGCCGTGTTTGGTTGAGGAGGAATGCTGCCTATGACCCCAAGAACACCATCCCCACCGTCAAACATGGAGGTGGAAACATTATGCTTTGGGGGTGTTTTTCTGCTAAGCGGACAGGACAACTTCACCGCATCAAAGGGACGATGGACGGGGCCATGTATCGTCAAATCTTGGGTGATTTTCCCTCAGCCAGGGCATTGAAAATGGGTCGTGGATGGGTATTCCAGCATGACAATGACCCAAAACACACGGCCAAGGCAACAAAGGAGTGGCTCAAGAAGAAGCACATTAAGGTCCTGGAGTGGCCTAGCCAGTCTCCAGACCTTAATCCCACAGAAAATCTGTGGAGGGAGCTGAAGGTTCGAGTTGCCAAATGTCAGCCTCGAAACCTTAATGACTTGGTCTGCAAAGAGGAGTGGGACAAAATCCCTCCTGAGATGTGTGCAAATCTGGTGGCCAACTACAAGAAACGTCTGACCTCTGTGATTGCCAACAAGGGTTTTGCCACCAAGTACTAAGTCATGTTTTGCAGAGGGGTCAAATACTTATTTCCCTCATTAAAATGCAAATCAATTTATAACATCTTTGACATGCGTTTTTCTAGATTTTTTTGTTGTTATTCTGTCTCTCACTGTTCAAATAAACCTACCATTAAAATTATAGACTAATCATGTCTTTGTCAGTGGACAAACTTACAAAATCAGCAAGGGATCAAATACTTTTTTCCCTCACTGTAAAAAAATAAAGCACAAAAGTGTATTTTTCTCTTTGTCAAATCTGCCTGAAATAAAGATGACTGCTCAGGTGAATCAAAAATCAAACAGAAAAGTTTAGAATGAGTCAAGTGCTCTGTTTAGTGGTCTCAGTCACTCACCCTTGGTCTCTTCCACTCCACGATACCAGGAGGTGGTTTCCTGTAAAACAGGGATGCATTAGTAACTGGAAACTCTGGATCCTCAAACAGTTTCTTGTCCTCCAGACATTCCTTCTTCAGCTCAGAGTAATGCTGGTTCTTGTATGAAGTGGCCGTGGAGAACATGGTTCAGACGCTGCAACCTCCAAACTGCAAACTGACCACAGAAGAAGACTTAATGTTACTTTATAGGCAGACTATCTGGAAAGTCCTTGTCAGCTGAGGGTCTATCATTGTTCACCTTTGACTCTGGGTGTCTGGACAGTGAGCTCAGCATACCGTACACTAATACACCCAATAAATCTCAGAGTAGCTCTTTCTTGGGAAATGTTGTAATGGCATTTTTCCTCTGAATCATTGTAGTTTGGATATAGTCTCAAAGGCAAACTCCCACAGGGGAATAAACTGCTCTTAGGATAAATACATCCACTACCCAATATGCTAACTATTGTGCATATTTTAATAAATGGAAGTAGAAACAGTCTTCTACAAACAAAATCTACAAACAAATACTCTACATCACTTTCAAAGTTATGGTCAACCATGGATTTTACTGTACCTTTGACACAAAACTGCGGTAACACTTTATTTTAAGGGTCTGTAAAAAAATGTATAAGGAATTTATTTACATTTACATTTACGTCATTTAGCAGACGCTCTTATCCAGAGCAACTTACAAATGTATAAACCATTTATAAGGTATTTACAAACAGTTCACCATTTATTAATCATTACTCCCAGATTTGTAATGGTTAGTAAGCTGCATATACATACAAATGTATATATATTTCCTTAAATATCCTGTGTTGTGTGCTTATTCTTTTACCAGGTACTGCTGGAATGTCTACCAATGGCATGCCCACCTTTTTGTGAGAAATTACACTGGTCACTCAAAACATTTATAAAGTATTTAAAAAGCATAAATAGCGCTCACTTTAGATTAGGGGCTGCAAAAATGTTTTACTAATGATTTGTAAATGGTTTGTGGGAGTAATGATTAATATATGGTGAACACACACTTTATAAATGCCTTGTAAATTATTTATTATGGACCCTTAAAATAAAGTATTACCAAAACAGCAAAAGGCTAACCTTTTACTGGTTTTGTGATGGAAACATCCCATGTGTGCCAAGTTTTTAGATGAAAACCATATTGTTCAAAACATCTTCTGCCCTTTGGGAATATTATGATATTCTAACTCTATGACTGGTACAGTGCACTTTACCCTATCACCCTGACCCCTGGCCCCAGAGGTCAAGCTCTTTATAAACAAGATTAGATCTGATATTTTGTCTGTCTGTCACTGCAGTCATGTCCTTTTGCTGTCTGCCATGAATAACACAGACACAAATAATAAAATTCCAAAGGAATTCCATTTTGTGGCCACCGGAGAGCAATCAAGCTCTAAACTCCCAGTGAGCTGTCGGTAATGACATGTTTCCCAAAAACATTACACACTTTAGAAAATCCCTCTCAGAGTGAAGCCCATTAGGAACACAGTGAGAGGCAGTTCAACACACTGATACCTTCAGTTTTCAGTCAGAATATTAAGCAGAAAAGCATCCACATCCAATGCACTAGAATAATTAGTGGAATAAATTAGAATATTTGTATATTACTCTGTCCTTCTCTGTCATGCCCTGGCTCTGGGGACTCTTATATGTTGAGCCAGGGTGTGGATTTTCTATGTGTGATTTTCTATGTTGTGTTCTAGTTCGTGTTTTCTATGTTGGCCAGGGTGGTTCCCAATCAGAGGCAGCTGATTCTCGTTGTCTCTGATTGGGAACCATACTTAGGCAGCCTGTTGGCACTAGTTATTTGTGGGATCTTGTTCTGTATAGGTTTGTGTTGGTGAACCTGTAGACTTCACGTATCGTTTTGTTGTTTTGTTATTTGTGTAAAGTACTCATTAAAAGATGTACGCCTATCACGCTGCGCCTTGGTCTTCATCTAATAACGATTGTGACATTCTCTCTCTCCTTCCTTCACACACAGAACAACCACATTGTATATTGATTGTATGTATTTTCCTCAAACTAAGACTAAGAAAGCAAAGAGATACTTAAATATATGCAGGTGGTTTATTGTATTATTTATATTATAAATGTTTATTGTCAAGAATCTTGCCCTGGAGGCAGAACAGAGAAATTTCTGCTAGATGGGCCAGCTGCAAAGTCAAGATTGTCTATACAGTAAAAATTCATGAAAACAAAAATTAGCTTTTTGGTCTTAAGGTTAGGCATTAGGGTTAGCAGTGTAGTTAATGTTAGGGTTAGGTTTAAAGTCAGATTTTATGACTTTGTGGCTGTGCCAGCTAGTGACCATGAACTCTGCAGAGCTGCCTCCAGGGCAAGACGCATGACAATAAATGCCAACCTGCTAAATGAATAATAATATATGCTTTTATCCAAAGCGACTAACAGTCATGCTGCATATATTTTATGTATGGGTAGTCCTATACCAAACATTCCCAATGTAAGTATCTTTAAAAGAAAACTCAGCAAAACTGTCTACTATACTTCACTCATAGAAATTGGTGGCATCCCTGTGGAACGTTTCCGACACCTTGTAGAATGCCCCGAAGAATCCAGTCTGATCCGGTACTACATGGGTCTACCAAATAAACTGGCCAGTGAGTGTATGGCTGGCTGGCTAGTGGCTTGTTGTGTGGATATTGTATATGGTGGTTAGCTAGAGTCAATACTACCTGTATTCAGTGCTTACTTTGTAAATCGGGAGGTGCTGGAACAAAAAGTGAGCGCGAGAAGGGGGTGACCTGGGGAGGTCTGAAGTACCGGAACTCATGAGATTTTTAAAAACATTTATAATAAAGCACTGCATGCATATCATTGCATTTGCGTAGTGGCAAAGAGCAGTAGAGTAGAGGCACTTACCAGGGCTGTGCACAGACCTTTTGGGGGACAAGTTGTCTACAAAAACAAAAAGTACACCATAAAAAATATATCCCTGCCACCGGGGACACAGATTCTTTGCGCAAGTATTACAATAAGAGGGGAAAGCAGCACAATCTGATGAGTAAAGTATTTTGCTAAAGTATTTTGAACTGTAAGAAATTCTGCACTTACTAACAATGACCAACACAATTCTAGTCAAAATAGAAGATATTTAAGGAATACTGTAGCCTACCGTTACTATATCGAACCCAACTCCATTTGTTGCCACTATCATTTATCCCAGTGCTTTTAAAACTTTTTGATCTGTGACCCTCAAAAAGTAGTGGTACAAAACTTGCGACCTCCAGGCACGCACATGCACGTGTGGACACGCACAATTGCTGCGCGAATGTAGCCTGTCATTACAGCCATAAATGGTGATGCATTTACAAAACGCAAAACGAAATAAACTGCGTTTTACACCTGCATTTGGAGCTGAAAGTCCTTTATTTTAGCAGCCAATATCAACTGGGGACATATCATGTCACATCTCTGGAGTCCAGGGGCCTCATTTATCAATATTGTGTAGAAACTATTCTAAAATACTGCTTACAAATGGAATTTAGAATGTTCGTATGCATAGAAAAGGTGTGATGTATCAAATAATCCTACGACCGTAATAAGCACACTAGTAGGAGATAACCATTGATAAATACCAATTGGTGGTCCTCTGTAGCTCAGCTGGTAGAGCACGGCGCTTGTAACGCCAAGGTAGTGGGTTCGATCCCCGGGACCACCCATACACAAAAATGTATGCACGCATGACTGTAAGTCGCGTTGGATAAAAGCGTCTGCTAAATGGCATATTATTATTATTCTCAGCCTCAGTGCTCGTGCACGATCTTGGCTATTTGCATTTCGAAACGCCCCTAATTAACCAAATATGGTTAAAATCATCCCTTTCAAACCCGTGGGGATTATACAACACCGTATCATGGAATACAATGGCGCAACCAAAAAAAGCTAAGACATTTTTTTATTTCCTAGACTGAAATAGAGGTGCTAGTGTCAGAGATTGAGAACAACCAAAAGGTTTTATTTGGCTCGCTCAGTTGTGGTTTGACCAATAAAAATAAAAACATAGCTAGAAAAGAGAGGATCATTAGGACAATTCAAGTTGCTTTAGCAATGGCAAATATACTTCAAATGAGTAGGCAACGCTCACCAATAAGCCATCCATCCTCACAGATCCCTCCTGTTGGCGTATAGGCCAGCATGCTGTTCTGCAGAATGAAAGAGTCATGCGTTCCACCTGGCCACCTTGCCATCACATTCAAGCAGCGTCTTTTGCGCATCACATAACCTATCACCTGCACATAAAGAGTGGAAGCCTTCTCTGTTCACATAGTTGAAATCATTTTGTGATGGTGATTTTATGGCGATGTGGGTGCCATCTATTGCTTTGTTTGTATTTGGGAACCCATTGATGGCATGATGGCAAAGAAACCCCTCTTGAAAATGGAAATCGTGTGTGTTACTGTTCGTTTTGCTGATGATTGCATCCAAAACATTGGCTCATCGAGGGCTGTGAGATGCCGATCCGCAAGCTCCCTCTAAAAAGGGCCCGTTTTCAAAAACCGGAGGGAGGATAGCACTTGGATGTGCACTGGAATGGCATGTATTTGCCTTTTTATAGTAGTTCATAAATCATCGCAAAAATCCTATAGGATTGGTTTTGGGAAACGAAATCTGATGAGCCAATCTGTACTTCAGAAAAAGTCCCACCTGTCTCTAAAAACGCGCTCTCTGCGAATGCAGCATGTGCCAAATCTTCAAAAAGCGTGTGCCAAATTAAATATCTCTCATTCGATTTCCCATTATCTTAGTGTTTTATAGTATTTCAACAATGGTTTCACTTTCACATGTACCTCTAATTTAACAAATTACTGTACTTTATGTTGATTATTATTGTAACAAATACACTGATGTGGTCCAATTATAGCATGTCAAGAGATGTTGCATGAATTCACAATGGAAATACAATGAAATCCAAAAGTTTTTAAATTATTATTCTCACAATTTCACACGTTATCAACATTTATTTTCCCCATTCTATGCTTGACAAGCAGTTCCCTTATTCCACCACTTGGCAGTGTGCCTACGCATGGTCATGGCTGTGCATACATTTACACACACTCTCAAGCAAACGTTCATATTGATAAATCTCTCAC